AAGATATAAATCAAATGATGCAAGAAACTGGACTACATAAAACATAATAAATTCAATGAAATAAGACCAAGGGAGATCTTAGTCTAACATCTGAATATCTGAGAGTTTGAATATTGACGAAGAGAGGGACAAAGAAAACATGAGAGGGCAAAAGAAAAACATAGGAAAAAGAGGAAACAGTTAAAGAAGAGAAAGTAATAGAAGGCAGAAAGAAAAAGGAAGGAAAATGTTGGGAAGAAAATTAAGAGTGAAGAGAAAGGATGGAAAAGAAAAGGAAAGGGGGAGAAGGAGATGAGGAAAAAGAAAGATTTTGAAAACAGAAAGAGAAACACCACACTGTAACTATACAAGGGTAGGGGCAGAGCCAATGATAGCAAATTCTCATCAAAAGTTATGGAAAATAGAATGAATCAGGATGAAATCCAAGTACCTAAAACAAGAATGCAGCATTCAGCAAAATGATTTCTCAGGAATAGGGGAAAAGATGTAACTATGAGGCAAAGCAAAATTCACCACCTTAAATGCAGTGCCAGGGAATCTAATGCACTCTAGCTTCTGTAGGGACCTGCACACACAAGATGCATATAAACTCATTCAAGAATACACACACACACACACACGCACGCACGCACGCACACATAAAGAAAAAAAAATGTATCTTAAAAACCCTGCCACTCCCAAAGGAATGGCTGAAAAGACTAATTAAAGAAGGAAGTATGGAAACTCAAGTATGACTAAAATACGAATAAGGCAATACATTAATTTCAAATAAAATTTCCAAAGAAAGTAAATTCACCTGTTTTATTTTAAATAAGACCAATAGAGTGCTGCTTAGTTTTTTGTTAACTTAACACAAGCCAGCGTCATCTGAGAAAAGGGAACCTCAATAGAGAAAATGCCCTCATCACAGTGGTCTATAAGCAAGCCTGTGGTCATTTTCTTGATTAGTGATTGACATGGGAGGTTCCAGCCCACTCTAGCGAGTGCCGCCTTTGAGCAAATTTGGTGAAAAACAATATATAATAATAATGAATAAGACCACTGAATGATAATTACCTTTAAGAGTAAGGAAACTTAGAAAGTCTAGTTGAAATAATTGGATTTTATCATGACTCAACATTTTTGCTTGTGAAGGATTCTGGTGCATGGGAAAAGACAAGCTACAAACTGAGAGAAAGTATTTACAAATAACATGACTAATAAAATGCCTGCAGAACATAAAAAAAACATGCACAGGTAAAGTTGTGCAGGGAGCTCTGGGAAAGCGGCTTCCATCCAGTTGTCGTTTATGCTATCCTGTGGTGGTCTTTTTCATGAGGCAGCTGCTTTTGAGCCGTCTCTTCCTATAAAGAACCCTTCCTATACTTCTGTTAGTAACCCCAGTAACTACTGATAGGTTCACCAAGTTAGATGTTGGTGCAATTGTTAGTTTAGTCTGTTTTGGTTTTTCTATCTAGATTGAGTAGCTGTGTGTGTGCTGTGTCTCCCTATATGGCAAACAGAACATAAACTTAACCAACATCCAATAAGAAGCCAAGGCCCTCCAGCAATTAGCAAAATACCTAAATGTTGCCAACCACAACGTAAGACTGAAAGTGGATACTACTTCATTGTGAAGTCTCCAATGAGATGTTCGAGATGTTCTGAGAGCCATGTGCATTAAGCAGGGTTCTCTGAGGGAGCAGAACCAATAGAACACACACATACATGCGGGCGTGTGCACGTGATAATGGGATCTATTAAACTGGCTTATACGCTAGAAGCTGAGCAATCCAATTACAGCCATCTACATTGCTGGATGAACAGAGAACCTATAAAGCTTCAGCCCAAGAAGTTAAACTCCTCAGTGGAACCAGAATAAGGATGAAAGCCTAGGGATTTTCTGAAGAGCCCCTGGTAAGGAGGGAGGACGCTAGAACTTGATTATAGGAAAGGAAGGGAACATTGGGGATGAACTCAGAAAAACGAAGCTCCACATACGTTTTCCCTTACGTGAAAATCCTAGCCTCTAATTGTTGAATGAATGGTGCATCTCAGTGGAAATGGATATAGGTAAAGGCCAAGAAACTAGAAAAGGAATCATGTGAGTAGGGGGAAATTTTAATAGAGGATGGTAGGAAAGACAAAAGAATAAAATAGAGGAGGGAAATATTGGTGACAAAAGGATAAAGTAGGGAAAGGAAGGTTTGGCATGGGACAAACAAAAATATAATACATATGACCTGGAAACTTATAATTCCATGTAGAAGACAGAAAACATTTAGTATATATAACCTTGTATATTTTGAATATTGAACCAAGTAAACATATTATGCAAAAATTTAAAAATTAAAACATTTCAGATTTCCCTAGTAAAGCAATCAAGTTTTCTAGATACATATTCAAGTCATAGAGTTGTAAGCAAAATATGCCTTCCCTTTTTTAGTTAATATTCCTTAGAAATATTTTGGTTAAATTTAGCAGGCAGAACACCACAGACAAAAAATATGAACTGACATAATAGGTTCTAATAATTTAAGGGTCTATAAATCACAGTTTACATATTGAATTTCATCTACAAACATGTGAAACACTCTGTGCTTTCGCTAACATTACAAAAATTTATGATCAGTGAATCACTGATAGCAAAGATTGTTTTACTTAAAAAATGGGAATGTTTTATTCATTACTCAGCACACATTACCAAAGTCAAAGTAACTTTTTCATGTTTCAGTCTAAAATGTATTTGAAAGGAATCCAAGGATCAGGAGAAATAGTCATATTTCAAGTCACATGATGACATAGATATATACAGAGAGAGAGAGAGAGAGTATATTAACACAAAACAGTCCGAGGCTGGAGAGCTGGTTCAATGGTGGCCCACAACTGTCTAACTCCAATTCAAAGTGATCTGACACCTTATTTTAGCCTTCACGGGCACCAGGAACGAATGTCGCGTACAGACACCCATGCAAACAAAACACCCATATGTATAAAACTTAAAAATTTAAAAATTTAAATCCTTTAAATCAAAACAACGGTTCTACAGTTCTTAGGATGTAAACTTGCACCAATCCTGTCAGCTTGCTCCTTCTGTTGCTACCAATTAACTCACTTCAACTGTGCTTCACCTCTGGTTATGAAATTATAACAAGAAATAGTGATCATAAATATTTCTGTCCTCCTAAGAGAGTCATAAACAGGGCCATCATATCTCCAATAATGTCTGAATGGTGAGGAAACAAAGCAAAACAAACAAACAAACAAATCAATGTAGTTTGTTCATAGATGTAAAAGTGAATAAAGAAAAGTGTTCCTTGAAAAAGGAACAAAGAAAAAGTGTCTGTGTGTGTGCGTGCGTGTTTTGATGTCAGGGGTTGGCATCAGGTTTCTTCCTTGGTGACAATAGCTTGTTACTGGTGTTGTTTTCTTGCAACACACTCATAATTGAATCTGGAGCTCACAAATTTGGTTAGGCTGGTGGTCCAGGGATTTGCCTATCTCCACCCTCACCAGGTTTGGCAAAGATGCTAGGGATTCAACCTCAGGGCCTCATGTTTGCAAGCACTTACCGGATCACCTCCTATCTCCCCTTCCTCAAAGAAATCGTATGAGCAGCGTAAAATCTGAATAAGTGGTGCGTTAGTGGTACAGCAGGATAATATACCACTAAAGCACCTCTGAACTTATACTTTTCAATATCGTTAAATTTATGCTATATTACTTAATTTATATTTAAAATATGATAGCACTCTTTGTGCTGGGTACTGCCTGTCCTATTGTTCTTTTACAGTACTCATAAAAATCAATTCTTCTATAAATCTTCCAATAAAGTAGGACTAAAGCAGGCTAACTAGAGAAAAAAAGTCCCAACTTACTTAGTAAGTTCTTAAGTGTTAATTCTCCTCATTGTAAAAAATGCTACCTCTAAAGATGGCAATTCATAAAGTAATGACATACAAAATACTCATGAATTTTATTCCGAATATTTAGTTAATAATTTAACCCTCACATATTATGCATATAAGATTAAAAATACTAAAAGTATAATGAATAATTTCTATATAGCTGCCATTCTATTTACTCATACTTATAAAAACATGTATACTTCATTAAAAGCTGTCAAAATTGCAGTGATTCCTTATTAACCATTATCATGCAACAAAATAAAATAAGCACCATGTTAGGCTCTAGGTCAAAACTGTTTTCCTCCAGTGTTTAACTTGACCTGAACAGTGTTTGTCAATCTGTATAAATTTACTTCTCAAAGGTTTTTCTCATTATCACTCACAAATTTTCCTATGTTGTGCTTTCCCATTCACTTTAAAAAGCCTGGTTGCTTCCCAAGTAATACACCCTTCTAAAGAGTGAAGGTAATACTCAATGTTTACTTGATCACTGGTGACTATTAGTTAAGTGGACATGTACATGTCTAGATCTAACTGGAAATGGCAACATGTAATATAACTTATTACTAATGAAATAATGTCTCCCTTTTGCATTCAAATAAACTCCTGGCTATGATTATTCTCAGATGAATGGAACTGAATTTTTATCAGAATATCATCTTTGGCAACGTTGAAATTCAGTGTTTAATTAGAACTGACATACTTGGACGCTAAAACTTTATTCAGTATTCTACTGTTAAAAAGCATTTAGAAAAGAGGATTACAATATAGGAGCTGGAATAAAGGAAATAAATGACATAATCAAAATATGTGAAGTAAATTTGTTTTTACTTAACATTTGAATATTATGTCTCAGTTTTCATTGCCATAGCCAGAGGAAAAGAAAATATGATTGCTGAAGTGATACTCAACAGCTTAAGGTTTAGGTAGTTCACATTTTTATAAGTGGCTGGATCTGTCCCAATAATATATTTTCTATGAAAAAAAAAACCCTGCAAATAGCATAGATTTAAAAGAAGAAAAATAGAAGAAAAAGTCTGTCAAGCTAGCACGAAACTTGCTTGAGAAACAATTCTGTCAAAAATAAAAGTTATGCAGTGCAAATGATCTTACCGTTCTCTGTTAAACTTCAGAGAATGAAGGATGGCTGGCCTTTTCTGTCTCAGATTCCACAAATGAAGCGTATCATCTGAACTTGCACTAACCAAAGCGCCCTGAAACAAAAGAAGATAAGGTATGCAGCTTACCTATGAGGATAGCAGAAGCAGAACATTTGCATTTCACATTGCTTGGACAGCTACAGCCGATACAAAGTGAATAAATTGTAATAAATAATAATAATCAACTGAACAGGGAATGAGAAAAATGTGTTTCCAGTTTACATTTACCCATATTGTTCCACAGCAACAAAGTTTTTAACATTTGAGGGAAATTTTCTCATTTTCCTTCTAATTTTATTTCAGAGAGCAGACTTGAGAGCCTCCCTTCTATCCCTAGAAATCCTCCTGTAAGCCTGCAGGTGAGACTATATAATCCTTGTCTTAAAAGAGCATTTTTAGACATCGAACTTCTCATTTATTGTTGTGGTAGTTTTGTGGGGCCAAAGACTTAGATATTCTGCAACAATGTATCTAGCCTAGCCCTCCTTTTAGAGACTTTATAAGTATAAATCCTTTCTTAAGAGTGTAGGGACAACGATTTGGGAGTAATTTGCACAGAAGCAGTTTTTCACAGTGAAATGAAAGCATATTTAAGTCCAGGTAATTTATACCTCTAGTGATGACAAATATGGTACAAGGAAAACATTTCAGCTTGCAAAACAGATGCTAGGAACTGGTTTGGGCCAGCATTGTCCAAGGTGCTGGCAATACAAAGAAAAGTCAAGATTATCATCTGTACTGAGATGCCTCAAACAAACTGGTGGGAGTTGAGGTAACTGAGATATTGTTCGTATTCTTGAATATGTACAAGCTGTAAAAGAGAATACTCTGAGGTCTGTAATGAGACAATCGAATCGTTAATTAGCATATCAAAATAAAGCCACAAAATTGCAAGTTATTTTGAAAAAAAAAAAAGCACAAAGAATTCTAAAAGTTACAGTCTTTACAAATTCAGTCCCTTGATAATAGCTAATAATGTCTTTTAAAGATCCAAAGTCTTTTAAAAGTCAAGGTCTGTCAAATGTGGGTTCCAGTAAAAAATAATAATGATAATAATTTAAATACTTTACTTCAAGAGGGAAGAAGAACCAGGGCACAGTCACAATCAAATCAAAACTGAACTCCTACTGTTCAATGCCTGGATCCACTCGGGATCTTCCAGGCTCCTCCACCGGGCCTGGCTAACTTCTCAGGCTCCGGCTCTACGGCACACACGGCTTGTTTCCTAGGCTCAGGCTGGCTCCACTCCAAGGCTGCGCTCTTGGTAGTCATCCCTTGGTTCTGGCAGCTCCAAAATGCTAGGGTCTGCTACTGAAACTGAGCTGCACTTTCACCGATAGCCTCTCATCGTCTAAGAGAGTGGTGCTAAGCCCCAGCTTCTCTGCATGTCCCCGTCAGTCCTGCGCCTCAGCTGCCACTGAGACTGCCCCTTCACTGAAGGCCTCGCCTGGATTCTCACAGCGCCAGACCTCAGCTGCTCTCCATGACCTCTTCATGCCTTCCAAACCACTACCACCTGAGTGACCCTTATACTATCAAGTTAGGCTGCCAGCATGAGGTAAGCCTTGGCTGCCTCTGGAACTTGCTTCTCTGTGGTCTTAGGAAATACTTCCCGAGAGATTTCACCTCAGTGATGCTGTTCTCTTCTTAATCACTCAGCTGCAGCTGCCAGCCCTGATGGTCCCAGTAAAGCAAAGGTTTTACTTCAGTGGTGCTTACCTCATTGATCAGGAATTGAAGCTGCAAGACCGCCGCACCACTCTCGTGCTGGCAGTAACAGTCAACACCAGGCCTCCCAAGTCTACCGCAATAAAAGTCAAGGATTCTAACCTTTGAATTAGCACAGACATTAAAAAGTGAAAGAAAATCTGACTTATTTAGCAAGTAATGTTTTGACTCTTCATTGTCCTTATTTTTAAAAGAGTTAAAATATTTTACTTTCCACAAATTTAATTATAAAGTATAAATGAATACTAGTCTAACAATTAGAAGAATGATAGTAAAACATTGGAAGAAAAAAGTTTCCTTTTCATTAAAGTAAAACAGGAATTAAGAATCCAGACACATCTCATTTCTTTTAATATTCATCTGATTAAACATTTCTTTCCCCAGAGTAGGTTCAAACTATTGAAAGATTTTAATGCAATAAATGAAATCATAAAAAGTTTATTATGTTAGCAAGGCATAGTGGCACATACTTTTAATTCCAGCACTTAGAAGGTGGAGGCAGGACAATTTCTGTGAGTTAGAAGACAGCTTGGTCTATATGGCAAGTTCCAGAACAGCCAGAACTACATAGAGAGACCCTGTCTCAAACAAAACTATTTAATATATTCAAATATGCTAACAACATTAGTATATACAAAGCCCTTCTAACAACATTTTAAAACCAATAGGTTATAAAGAAATAGATTAATACATTATATATAAAATAGTTTCTGAATAGAAAAATAAGATTAAAAAACAGATATTAAAAATAATAGCAATATACTTTTTCAGTTAACATAAAGTTAACCTGTAAGTCAGAAAGGGAACAAACAAGAAAAGAGAAAAAAATGATGGAAGATTGTAGGAAGGGAAGAAAAGTCAAACACCACAGCACAAATTTTACTAATGTATTTCTTACCAAATGACATATTTCTGTATATACATATTATTTGCTTTTCATAAATAAAAAACTCATGAGAACTATTTCCAGACATAGTGAAGAAACAGGGGGCAGCTTTATCCTCCTACCCAAGCAATTAAAAAGAATAAACAACATTGACATAAGTGCATTCATGAATACTACAGCTCTCAGACAGTGCATGTCAAACAAGGAATTATGGTAGCTCCTAAAAATGGAAAAGGTTTAGATAAATAAAGTTAGTCTATAGAAAGAGAACAAAAGAGAAAGAAAGGATGGAAGACTGGAGGAAAGACTGTGAGCTTATGACTGTTCCAGGGTACTCTATAGAGAATGTCCTGGCCACAATCTAGAGATATGCAATCTAGCAGGTTCCCTTTGTTGAAAAGACAGAATAAAGCGAGGGAGGCTAAGGACAACCAGAATTCACATGACCAAAAACAAAGTAGAAAGGACACATGCTCAAGTATTTCAGAGATCTGCAGGAAGGCTCCACTGAATGGGGCAAAATGTGAAACGGGAAACAGATTTAGGGAAACTATTTGAAACTGGGAAAGAAAAAAAAAAAGTAAGAAAAAAATGAAACGCTTCTTGAAGAACAAACCAGACCAAATAAACAAACACCAACAAAGATAATTCCTTCTTAAAAAAATAAAGCAAGAAAGAATGAAACAAAAACAAAGGAAAGTTTAAGTGAGACCAGAAATTTTTCTTGTTCCCACCTTCCAAAGTGGAAACCCTAAAATTCACAGACTGGTCATACAAAACACTAAGAAAACTATGACCACAGTTGTGAGGGAAACTCACCTCCTATCTAGAGGTACCTTAAAAGGAGGGGTAAATAAGGTAACTAGCTAATAATATGTATATTGAGATAAAATGAAACCAGTTTTAAAAAATTATTTCTTTTACTTCTTGAGCTTATAATGTAATTACATCACTTCCCCCTTCCCTCTCCTCCAAGGACAACAACAATAGAGCAGGGATGAGGGTAAGGGCAGAGCCCAAGAAGCCTGAGCCCTACACGAAGAATTATAGGCAACTAAGGAATGCTGAAAGCAGTTTTTAAAACTCACAATCAAACAGAAAAGGGTAGAAAACAGATCTAATAAGAGAACTAGAAAGCAAACTGCAAGACCCTGGATTCAATTCAACCACATCAATTCCACATTATAAACAAATAGTATTTATACTCCAATTAAAATTCAATAAGTGTCAGGAAAAAGGGCAATAGTCAAATTATACAATGCCTAGAGGTACCCTTTTTAAAAATATAAAAATAAGCCAGATATAGTGGCTCATGCCTGTAATCTCAGCACTTGAAAGGCTGAGATAAAAGAATTATTGCATTCTGAGGCCAGTTTATGCTTTTCTTTGTAAGAGTTGCCATGGGTCATGGGCATCTATTCACAGCTATAAAACTAAGACAGAAGCTGGAGATGCAGGGACTGGGGTATTGCTGTGACAGGCCTGACCATGCTTTTGTTTGGAGGGATGTTGGCCTTGGGACCTTGGATTTGAAGAGCAGTTGAATGCTTTAAGTGCTGCTTAATGGGCCATACTAGTAGAAGCATGGAAGATAGCAGTGCTGAAGGTAATTTGAACTCTGCCCCCTCAAGAGGTCTCAGAGGAGAAGACTATTTGTATGTGGCCTAGAGATCATTCTTGCGATATTTTGGCTAAGAATGTGGCTGCTTTTGTCCTTGTCTGCCTGAGGAAATCTCAAAATATGTGGTTATTAGCGGTCACTCTCATGCAGATCTATAATGAAAAGGAACAAGCTGAGCAAGGAAAAATATGAGAAAAGAGGCACCTAAGCGGAATGGAGCTAAGTCCTGTGTTCAAGGAGATGCAGAGTAAAGAAAAGCTGGATGTTATAAGAAATAAAGGGAGAGGTGACCTCAGGGCAAGATCACCCCCAGCTAAGCTTCCAACTTGTAAAAAGGAATGAAAGAAAAGCTTACGGACAGGGATGGTGGTGATGCACACCTATGGTCCAGTGTGCTGGAGGCAGAGGCAGGGGGATCTCTGAGTTCAAGAACAGCCTGGTCTACAGACTGTTTCAGGACAACCAGACACTACACAACGTAGGCAGTGAAGGAAACCATCAAAAACAGAAAGTTGATGAAAATGTATTTGAATGAGGCCATGTTTCAGCCCCAGCAAGCAGAAGAACTCAGCCACGTGGTTCTGGCTTTTGAATCAATGATACAAGAAAGGGGTTATGAAATCTCCTTTCATGACTAAGGAAAGCCTGGCATATGTCAGGGGCGTCCCTGCACAGACCCTAGATGTCATTGTGTGAAGCTGTGAAGGTGAAGCCTGGATTACCTTGGAGACCACAGGATGTTGGAGCTGCCAGAGTCATGGGATACCTGCCAAGGAAAGCTGCTAACAGGGAGTGGAACCATCCCAAGAGAGAGAAGTATGTTGCAGTCAACAAAGCTAAAAGGAGTTGGAGATCTGAACAGTGCTTTGACATCAGACACGGAGATGCAGAGTTTGGAGTTTTCCCAGCTGGGTTCTGGTCTTGCTTTGGCCCAGTATTTCCTCACTATACTCCCTTCCCTGCCTTTTGGAGTGGTAATGCATATTCTATGCTACTGAATGTTGGAAGTATGTGACCTGATTTTTTATTTTGATTTTATAGGGGTTACAGATAAAAGATTGCCATGGGTCTCCAAGAGACTTCAGACTTTTAAACAGTTGAGACTGTTAAAAACTATCAGGACTTTTGAAGTTGGGTTAAATGCATTTTGCATTATGATATGGCTATAAGCCTATTGGGGCCAAGAAGTCAAATGTGATGGTTTGAATGAAAATGGGCTCCACAAGGAGTGGCATTGTTGAGGTGTGGTCTTGTTGGAATAGGTATAGCCTTGTTGGAGGAAGTTTGTCACAGGCGGTGAGCTTTGAGGCTTCAGAAGCTCAAGCCAGGCCCAGTGTCACTCTCTCTTCCTGCTGCCTGCCAATTCAGATGTAGAACTCCTTCTCCATGCTTCCTGCCATGATGAAAATGGACTAAACTTCTGATTCTGTAAGCTAGCCCCAATTAAATGTTTTTCTTTATAAGAGCTGTTGTAGTCATGGAATCTATTCACAACAATAAAACCCTAACAAAGACACTTCATAAAACTATATAAAAATTTAGAAGATGAATTTAATATATGATAAGCTTTGAAAATGATACTAAAAATTGGGAGCTGGAGAGATGGGGTAGAAAGTAAGAAAACTAACCACCCCTCCAGAGGACTTGGGGAACAATTCTTAGCACCAGCATGGTGGCTCACAATCACCTGTAATTCCAGCTCCAGGGATCCAAGACCATCTTCTGGCCTTCCTGGGTACCAGGTGTGTACATGGTGCACAGACATACATACAGGCAAAATACCCATATTTATAAAATAAAAAACAGAAAATTAAATCTGAAGGAAAATCTAAATATGTTACATAGCAGAAGTGATGATTCTTAAAAGAATACTCATTAAAGCCTAAGTCTGTGTTTTTAAACCATGAAATCTATTTTTACTTTTTAAAGGCAGAGATTGTCAAACTGTACAAGACAAGAAACACAAATTTTATGCTTCCTACAATAAACAAAATTTAAAATACAGTAAGTTAAAAACACAGTATGTTTTCAAAGGTATACTATCCTGAGACTAACCAAAAGGGATATCTATGTACAATGGGTAAAGTACATTTCAGATAAAAGAATATTGCTGGGGACATAAAGTTATTTACTAATATAAATATTTTAAATTTGTCTAGAAGATTTACTCCTAAATGTTTATATATCTAATGACAGAGATACAAAGTGCATAAAACAAAATCTGATGGAACTACGAATATGAATAGATCAATCTGCAGTTGTAATGGGAGATTTTAATGCCGCTATTTTAATAATGAGGAAGTAGATAGAAGGTCAGTACAAATACAGAGGATTTGAACAATACCATAAATCAGTTTGACCTAACTGACATCCATGAAACACTCTACTCAACAACTGCAAATATATTTAACATTTATCAATATGACAATATACAGGGCTATAAAAAAGGCTCAATCAATTTTTTAAAAAATCAGGTTATACAAAATTTATTCTCTTACCATAATAGAAATAAATTAGGACTCAATAATATAAAGGTTAATGAGAAAATATGTGATACTTAAAAGCA